TGAACACCAAGAAAACAAACAATTAAATACTGTCTTTATTTTTTTAAGATTTATTCTACTAGCTACCTAATATTAAAATAATATTTTAATATTTAAATTTATATATTGAATTCATTTAATATTTCTATTTAAAACTCAAGAGAAATTTCTTGCACTCATATTCCAAGAACACAATAATTTATTTACTCAAGATTTATTTTTTTACTAGCTATTGTGAATAAGGTTTGCTTTGGAAGAAGAGTGATTTTCAACTAATATTATTTATTCCTTTTTTATATTTGAAACAATGTTGTTTGAAGGTTTGTGCTAAAAGGAAAAAAAGAGAGAAGAGAAAGAAAAAATGTAGTAGGATGGGGTATTGGGGAACACATGATAGACTCTTGATTTTAGTTTATTGTAAAAACTCTCAATGTTCCTGAAGAACTATAGCTTTTGAAAAACCTATTTTATTTTTTGAAGTTATAATACTAGAATAACAACATTTTCCCCTCCCCTTCCCTGCCTCTCAAACCTCCCATGAATCTGTTCTTACTCTCTTTCATATTTTTGCCCCCCTTTTTTCATTAATGTATTAACTCATAATCCAAGCTAAACAGTGGCTCATTGTGATTATTATTGTCATTATTATTCTAAATCCGCACAAAGGAAACACTTTATTTTGAGAACTCACTGGCCCTACTTAATCTTAATGTTATGTTCTTTTATGTTAATAGTAGGTACTTAATAAACATTTGGGGAGGCCAAGCAATTAAAAGGCCATAAAAATGGAACTGATTTAGGGACAAAAGGAACATGGGAAATTACATGCTTCTTGTTTTTATAACTGCTACTTGGCTTTCCAGCACTCCCATAGTTAATAAAAATTTATTTCAGAGTAAGTTGATTAAATCACTTCTGAAGGGATATTTTATTACTTTAAAGGAATATGTAATTGGGTCTAGAAACTTCTGTATCTTTCTGAGTAATATCCATTTTAGTCTGTTAATAAGTTTCATTTAAGAGATAGGTTCTGTGATACATCATCATTAGTTATGTAGCTATGCCTATAAAATATTTATGGGGAACACACTTAAACATCCATTGCACATTCTTTTCTGCTTAAAATTACTATTGGAAAACTACTAGGCGATAATCAATCATATTGGTACTGAGCAAGCTGAGTAACATAGAGAAACTTAAACACAGTGGCACTGGGCTTTGTAGGGGCACTTTATTGAAGACTAACAAAAACACACAGAGAGACTACCCTCATATCTGTCCCCAGTTAGTCATTGGGAGGGATTATAAGGAATTTGCGGAGTTATTGTGTCTGATGTACATTGTTCCTGATTAGATGCTCTTCTGCCTTTCAGTCTCTTACTTTTCCTGTGTTGTAATTCCATGCTCAGAACTTCTTACTTTTGATTTTAATAGCCTATGTGTATTTGAGTCTTTTGAGGTTCTGTCTGTTGGTCTAAGATGCTAATTGCTATAAGACCCTCTCCAAATACTTTTGCACAAAATTTAGTTGTTTTGTAAGTCTTAGAAGTAAAGGAAGGTCATTCTGACTTTAGTGTTTCAGTGTGTACGGTAGGGGTGAGGTGGGGGGCAATATAGGGTTCAGTAGTAAAAAGTGAAAAAGGATTCATTAATATAAATGGGATTGCATCAACTGCCTGTTTGCCTGCATTCTCAATGCAAGGATTTTGTCCTCCCATGAAGTCTAAGGTACTAAAATGTTACCAATTTCATGATTTCACTTCTGGTAATGATCTTTAGTTCTCTGGGAGCTGCACATGATTCCTGTTTACAAATGTTCGCAATTTTTAGCAAATGCCTGGTTGAAGTTTCTGACCTATAGAACACGGGATGTCACTCCATTTTTACTGTTCATACAAGGGCTAAATGATTATTGCAAAAACACATCATTTTAGAAGACAGTAGGCAAAAAGTATCCCTTTTCAGTTGGACATAGCAGAGTTTCTGTGTCTGTCCCTTCCCTGAACTGTTCTCCTTGGGGAACATTTGCAGAGCCAGGCATTGGATGAGGATCAGGGCCATCTAACAAAAGGGCTCTGCTCTGTGGAAGATAAGCTGGGGAAGCTTTTGATAACTGTACCGGTTGCTGTGACAGTTTGGAATTGGGGTAGGACTGATTGCAAGGCGTCCAACTCTCTCCCCTGTACTTAAGCTGAGGGCTGAAGCAGCTAGGTACTGGCACAGAAATAGAAAATTAAACTGTGTACAGTGAAGAGTGTTTAGAAGTCAAAGTCTTTGGAAGAGAGAAGGGTGTTCAATATTCTCTTATGGATTTCACCTTTAAAATTTGTGAGTGATATTAGTGAATAGTTAGTGATCGCTAACCAGGGCAAAAATGAGGTGAATGAAAGTTGCTATCCATCCTTGACCATGTTTAATTTCTTATGGGGTTAAAGTGAACTGTCTATTACTCTAGGTGACTGTAAAATAAATGTTTAGATTGTCTCCAACAAGAGAATACAAATTAAACTCAGCTATGGGTCATTTTAGAAAGAATGTCTGGGAAATAAAAGCACTTTGGAATTTAAAGAAGTAAAAAATATGTGTCACAGCACACACACACACAAAAATGTAACCCTAAGAGTATAGATAATAGAATCACTTGGAGCACACTTCATATTGTCAAATTAGCATAAAATGATTGTTATGTTACTCCTACAAACATGCTAAAGAACATAGAGAAAAGGATAAACATATTCTATAAAAAGAAAACAGTTGTGGACATAAGATCAATTAATTTCATGAATGAGTTTGGCACTGCTGGTAGGCTTTTCAAGAGAGTCGCAGAAGCCAGGAGGTAGTAACCTCTGGCTATAATGCAGTAAAGGAAAGGTTTTTCTGACCAGTGTTACTCAACTTTGCCTATGGAGACATGAATGAATGTCTCTTCATCCCAGAGAGGGCACTAACAACAGACCAAAAAATGATCTCAACCATGCCTTGTTTGATGAGTGAATGAATTTGTTGGTGAGGGCTGATTTACAGAATCATGGATGAGAGGTTACTTCTAGGAATAGGCATGCCATAGACAGGTGCATCAGCCTATCATGGATGATGACTCATGAAAATGGCATCTCTACACTGAAGTTCTCTACAAGTTGGAGAGAGTTCCTCCTAGGAATCTTCTCCCAGATATTTATTTATTGTTTATGTAACTGTCAAGAAAACCCTGGAGAGCATTGTAAGTTTTCCTAACTTTCTGAGACTTATGAGACTGACTCTTTCCTTCAGGAAGGACTTTTTTGATTAAAGAAAATAATTAAGATTGGGATTCTATTATCAGCAAAACTACATCTAAATAAACCAAATACAATATATATGTTTCACAAAAGGGAAATCTAGAACATTGGTCATCACTGGAGATACTTAATATTTTGGTTCATGATGAATGACACAAAGTGGAAGCAAGTAAACTTAGGAAGATACAAAGAGCACCAGAAATTAAAAATTATGTAGTTTTGACCTAGTGAGTGCATATATGTGGTAGGAGGGCATTTTGAAGGGTATCCAATGGAAACTGAAAGAGGAATTTAGGGTTTGATCAAGTTATTCTCTAAGCATGTGTGAAATTGTCAGAGAACAAGTAAAATATATTTTTAAAAGTTAAAAAAGAAAAATAGCATTAATTGTTAATGTAGGAACAATAGTTATTTGTCTTCAATTTTTATTTAAAATTTACATAATAATGATAATATGCCATGTTTTTGTGCCTGTGTGAGTTTTTAAGTTCAGGTTCTTGTAACCATGACTACAAATATTTACAGAGAAATGTTTCTGCTCTATGCTCTATGCAGTTGAGAGTTCATTGGTTTTCAGGATTCAATCTTTTCTTGGTATGTGAATTACAAATGTTTTTTTTTCCTAGTCAGTAGCTTCTTATCACACAAATGTAATTATTTTTATAAAGTTATGTGTAAGGCCTTTATGATAAGGAGTATGAACTAAAGGTTATGGTTAATTTTATGTGTCAATTTTGCTAAAATGTGGGATGCCTAGAAATTTAATTAAGAATTATTCTGGGCTATATCTGTGAAGGTGTTTCTGAATGAGATAAGCAATTGCATCAGTACACTGAATAAAGCAGCTTCTCTGCCTCCATAAGTGGGCACCATTCAGTCTGTTGAATGGTGCCCACTCAACAAAAGCAGAGCACAGAGGGAGGGAGACTTACTCACTATTTGACTGTTTGAGCTGGCACTTGTTCTCTTGGCCTGGGGACTGGGATTTACACAATTGACAGTCCTGGATTTCAGACCTTAGGGCTTGGAATGGAACTGTACCACCTGCTGTCCTGGGCTTCCAACTTGCATGTGGAAGATCATAGCTCTAGTTCATGAATAATCATACAAGATGATTACACACACACACACACACACACACACACACGCACGCACGCACGCACGCACGCACACAAATACAAACATAACTTCGTCCTGTTGGTCTTATTACTTTGGACAACCTGGGTTAATGAACCATGCTACCTAAATTTAAAACACCTGAATAGGAACTGAAGGACTCAGTATTTATAAGATTTTAATTGTCTCAACACATATTATTCAATTCTAAAGAATACCAATCAAATCTCAGCATCACTTTCTATTTTAGGTATTGATACACTGGCTCAATCCTTTAAAATTTGCAAATGAAAAGAAAAACTGCAACAAAACAAGATTTGTGAAACTGAAAGCATACATAAAAGTAATATTATATGGACTGAGCAGGTTATAGTTAAGAATATATGTATAGGCAAACTACTGGCGAAATTATTATGGCCACTTCACGTAGTTAAAAGGATATTTATTTAGTGGTGTAACTCACAAATTAAGGGATAGGTAGGTCGCAGGGTCTGGGGGAGGTGTATGGCAGTCCAGCGGTGTTCACTGGAGCTCTGCTTGGTCCACCTCCACTGTTCAGGGTCCCGGCACCGAGAGAGTGCTCGCCCATCCAGATCTCGGGTCTCCAGCCACCTCCCCTGGCCCCGCCTCGTAGGTGTGACAGTTGCCAGAGTCTCAATGGGGGTTGGAACTTCCAGATCCAAGCTGGAATGGCTACCCACTACACAAACCATGTATGCATACAATAATAAATAGTGGGCAAAAAGTTCACGAATTTGAAACATAGTGAGGAGGCATATATGGGAGAGTCTGGAGGGAGGAAAATAAAGGGAGAAATGTAACTATCATCTCAAAAATAATATTAGAAAAATATAAATCAATTATAAAAATATTAAATAAAATAACTACATACCTCCCCAAAAGAAACTAAACAAACAGATCTCAAAAGATTAAATATAAATGATTAAGAACCATTTAAGTCAGTTCCTGCCGTCTCGCGACCATTGCCAGCAGTCTTTTG